GGCCATGGCTGCAAAGGAGCTACGCTGGCTCACCTACCTACTGACTGACCTAGGAGAGCCGCCTCGTTCTCCTCCAGTTCTGTACGTAGACAACAAGGCCATGCTGGCCTTGTGTCGGGAGCACAGACTGGAGCACAGAACGAAGGACATTGCTCTTTGCTACTTCCTTGCTCGTGAGCTGCAGCAGCGTGGTCAGCTGCGCCTTGCTTACGTGGCCTCTTAGGCCAACACTGCTGATATCTTTACCAAGGCACTTCGTCCTTGTGATCATCAGCGCTTCTGTACGATGCTAGGTCTTATGCCTACTTGGCCTCACTTGCTCACTTCTTGACCTTTCTTGTACTGTCCTCTTTCTATACCTGCACTTGCTTGTTTACCTTTATATATGATCTTGCATGTGAACTGGCCTTGTGGCCTTGCTCTTGTGCTCGGAATGTGTGGTGACGTTGTGATCCACCCTGGGCTTGCTTTGCTTTGCTTGATTGGTCTTGTGACCTCTTGTTTTCCTCCACTTTGCCTATGGGGGTGTGTCAAATTTATATGCTATAGTCTCTGTAGGCTGTAGTGGGGTAGACAATTTGGGATACAACATTACTAGGTTTTCCTACTTGTACCCACCTTTTTCCTAGTTCATTCATTCCTCATTCTTCACACGAGCACCAGTGCGAGAAGCCGCTGAGCTCAGTTGCAGTATTCGGTCACCGTCTCCTGCTCGCCCATCCTCAGGTACGTCGAGGCGATGAACCGCCACGCCTTGTGGCCGGCGTCCAAGTTAATCCGCAACGACTTTAGAGCGTTCTGCACCACCGGTGAGCACCACCGGGAGATGACCATGAAGGTCAGCAAGTGAGCAGTGTGAAAATCTGCACGCATCTCGACGTTGTTCTCCGGCGGCGTCTCTATCGAGCCGTCGGCGAAGCACATCAAGTTGGGGCTTGATGGCCTCCATCCACGTGATGAGGTCATGTCGACCTACCAGCGGCATGGGTTCAGCGACCTTGTCCGACGAGAACTTGAAGTAAGTCGGAGCTATCCCCCCCGCTGTCACGTGGGTCGCCAATGTGAGGATCTAGGATCGAGCTCATAAAAGAGAGTTTGAATTGAATGAATTACCTAGGTCCAGCAGAGGGCGGCGGGCGGGTCCCGTAGGGCGTCGTGCGGGTCCAGCGGGGGACGGTGCGTGGGTCCCGCAGGGCATCGCGGGGGTCCACCGAGGTAGCGCGCGGGTCCCGCAGGGCGTCGCACGGGTCAGGTGGGGCGACGCGCCGAGCAGAAAACCGCCGCGGGCCCCGAGGCGCGCGATAGGCAGAACAGTAGCGGAAGCATAGGGTGGGCCCATCCACAGGATCAACCCGTGAGGGTCGACCTGCTCTGATAGCATGTCATATGTACGAACGAGAATGTTAACAGAAATAAGAGGGTTTGAACTAGCAGGCAGGTGGGATACAAATAGGAAACCTACAAGAGCTGTACTCACTACTGAGTACCCCACTGCAAACTAGACAATATAACATTCGGACACTGTACGCGGTGTTGCTGGTCTCAGTCAAGAATGTTAAGAAAAATCCTTACACGTACCAAGGCAAAAAGGAGCATTGTAAATGAAGCCTAAAAGAAGTTCAGAATATCCAGCCATTTATTATTGGCCTTTGAGTCACTTCATAGTATCACACTCCATACATTGGAATATAAAGGATTCTATCATTTTGAGGTAATTTGCTTTTCCAACGCAACTGTCATCTTGATGTCAGATACCGTAAAAGTGTGACATGCGGCCGCCGGCCACAATCGTGACAGAATCCCATAAAATGGGGTTGTTAGTTACATAATGGGTTGTGCTTTCGTAACCACCCATGCTCTGAACATGTGACCATTCCCTGGGATCAATGAAGCATCCCCACTTCCGACACCTCCCTTACACAGAGATGCCCTAAGACACAGCACAGAGAGGAAGCGACATAGGCGCCAGCATGTGCGTCTATGGGGGATTCACATTACCGTATAATTTTCTGGGACAGCTGCTGCTGCTGCTGCAAATGCTCCTACACCGATCAGGCTTGGATCTGATTGAAGTCAAGCCAATTTCTCTGCCAGGCTGCCACTCTCTGCCCACTTGTCTTCATATGCCGTACCTGCAATACCTCAATGGCAGGGCTAGAATTTTCGTATTTTGCAATTTTAATGTGTTTTCAAACCACCAGTAACGAAGCAGAGACAGCCTTGCAGACAGCAACTGCGGGTTACGGAACGAGCTGGACTTGTGGGGTGGTTCCTGTACGGTCATCTCTATTTACTATAGTTCCAGCAAGAGCATTTTTATTACCGATTGCTCCTGCGCTGGCCTGCTTATTAGCATTTTCATTAAGCTGATATGAAAGTGACCCGTTGCTCGCTCCTGCTGCCTCTGCTGCCTCTCGTTCGGCTGGTGAGCAAATGGGGTGTTGAAACAAGGGAAGCGAGCCAAGGCATTCACAAATTGAGAAAGAAGTGCCAAAAAAAATCACGGTGGGTGGTGACTGGAAGCGCAATCCAATAGAAAAGAGATGCAATTCAGAAAGGGTTGAAGTGAGCAAACGGATATAACGAGCATGTGGAGGAAGAAGAGGAAGAGGAAGAGGAAGTGGAAGAGGAAGAGGAAGAGGAAGAGAGGAAGAGGAAGAGGAAGAGGAAGAGGAAGAGGAAGAGGAAGAGGAAGAGGAAGAGGAAGAGGAAGAGGAAGCGGAAGAGTAAGAGGAATAGGAAAAGGACGAAAGAGAATCTTCAACACACCCTTGAGGATCTTCTGCAGGGAGTGAGCAAGGGCTTCAAACGGCGGGCGTGAAAGAGGATTGGCATCAAGGCACGTGGCAGCAAGGCGCATGACAGAGAGGAACGACGCAACACGATGGGCGGCAGGCAGAGCAAGTGAAGCAGCAGCAGCAGGAGGAGCAGCAGGAGCAGTAGCAGTAGCATCAGGAAGAGGAGCAGCAGCAGGAGCAGAAGCAGAAATCGCAGGAGGAGTGGGGCAGGTTTGCTGTGAGAGCGGGTCGAGGAGAGCGGGGTCCACTATGTCCTGCCAGTGGCGCTTCTTCAGAGCCCCTTGGGCCTGCCCGCAGCATTGGGAGCACAAGGACGGAGGGGAAGAGGAAGAATGGGAATAAGAGTGGAGGGAGGACGGAGAGGGTAGTGCTGCTTGCACATTCATGCACTTGGTATGTTTAACGCCTTGCTAGATTCCCTTGTTAGTTTGCCACCGGCAAAGAGGCACCAGCAGGATATATGGGATACCACGTGTGAGGTTGCATGCATGACAACGCACGCACACACATGTGTGCACTAAGGTAATGGAGCGGATGCTGTACACAGAGTGCATGCAATCACATGTTTCAGGGGTACTTGCGTGATCCATCCATCCATCCATCCATCCATCCATCCATCCATCCATCCATCCATCCATCCATCCATCCATCCATCCATCCATCCATCCATCCATCCATCCATCCATCCATCCATCCATCCATCCATCCATCCATCCATCCATCCATCCATCCATCCATCCATCCATCCATCCATCCATCCATCCATCCATCCATCCATCCATCCATCCATCCATCCATCCATCCATCCATCCCCACACACTCACCCAGTGCACAAGTGTGGAGGAGCCCTCGACAACTGGGGGCCGCCCAGATAGCAATTCCAGGAGCACTACTCCGAAGCTGTGACAGGGTCGAGAGGATGCAAAGGGTTGGGAGAAACGAAAGGGGATGAAAGGGTTATTGGTAACGGCGAGTGTGGATGTGGTTACATAGAGAGATACATGGGGCAGAAATTCAGAAAGAAAGAAAGAAAGAAGGAAAGGAAGAAAGAAAAAGTCAACTTTTTTTTCTTATCCGAAGCAAAGCGTTTATATATATTTACCTGTAGGCATCAGATGCAGCACTGGCCTCCCCTTGCAACAGTTCTGGTGCCACAAACACATCACCACACGTGCCATGAGATTCCGCAGCAGCTGCCGCCACCGCCGCAGCAGCTGCCGCCTCCGCAGCAGCAGGAGCAACAGAAGGAGCGCCATAGCACAGCGACACACAGTTGAAATCAGTGAGCTTGGCGTCAAACGTATCGGTGAGGAGAATGTTGGAGGACCTGATGTTGCCATGCAGTACCTGATGTGCCGCCAGCCATGGGCATGGGGGGACATGGGGCACAGGGGGACATGGGGGCGGAGGAGGGAAGGAGGTGTTGCCACAACTAAAGCGAACTTGTAGAGAATGGGAGTGGTGGTGCCACCACTGGCAGTGCAGCCAATGGTAAAACGTGTCAGATTTTCTGGAACAAGCATATGTACAGACACATATACACATGAAGATACACACTATAGATGTGTGTGTGTGTGTGTGTGTGTGTGTGTGTGTGTGTGTGTGTGTGTGTGTGCGTGCGTGCGTGCGTGCGTACGTGCGTGTGTGCGCGCGCGTGTGTGTGTGTGTGCGTGTGTATGTGTGTGTGTATGCAGGGGCACCGTTGCAAAGCAGTGCACGTGAGAGCGGCACCTGTGGCCTCTGCGAGTGAAGGTGCCGCACAGCCCTTGCTGTGCCCAGCGCTATCCTGACACGCTGCTCCCATGACAGGCACTGCGCGGGCACCTGTGTGTGACCTGGGGCGCAGGAAAGGAGGGATGATGGGACGAGAGAGCGTGAGGGAGGGAGGCGGGCGGGCGGAGGAAGGATGAGAGGAAGAGTTGGATGGAGGCGGGAGAAACAGAGTGGATGAAAGAAGCTGGGGAGAGGAATGGAGCAGTGCGATGAAGCAGGAAAGGGTAGTGTGTGCATGTAAGCCATAGGATAGGGTTCCCATGAAAACACGCCACAAGGTGAACATGGCTGCATAAGATCACGTAATTCACAAGCCAAAGTCCTCAAGTGACTCACCAGCAAGTACCCATCAGAGCACCACGTATTCTTGAGTCGGCTGAAAAAATATACTCACATGCCATACTCATATGATTTACCAGCTAGCTGTCATCAGAGCATGTCATGCAACAACACCACTCCATGGCATGCAACAGCACCCACGCCCCATTCACCACCCACCACCGCACTGCACAGTGTCCCACCGTGCAAATGGTCGTGCAGGGAACCAAGCGGCAGGTAGTGGCGCACTAGAATGCGCTTGGAGGGCGTCACACAGCACCCCAGCACCCTCACCTGCCACCACGGAGGGATGGGAGCGGGGATAGAGGAGAGAGGGGCGAGGGGAAGGAAGCGTCTACTTTTGAGGCGCCTCAAAGAGAACAGAGCAGCAGGTAGTGGCGCTTTGGAACGCACTTGGATGGCGTCACACAGCACCCCAGCACCCTCACCTGCTACCGCGGAGGGAGCGGGGAGAGGGGATAGAGGAGAGAGGTGAGGGAGGGAGGGAGAGGGGAGAAGGGAGAGAGGGGCGAGGAGGGAGAAGAGAAAGGAGAACGGGCCAGGTTCGGGGTTGTTTCTCTTCAGAGCGCTGTAAGAACGAGTAGGGATGGAGGCATAAAGCTCGAGTGTGAAGGCAGCAGAGAAATCCAGGGAAGAGTGATGGATATTGATTCGCAGCCGCCCCCTTCTTCCATGGCGATCTATGAAGGCGCCGCTAGCCAGGCCATGGGCATGGCACAGGTAGGCGCAGCAGGGGTAGGCGCAGCACAGGTAGGCGCAGCAGGGGTAGGCGCAGCACAGGTAGGCGCAGCAGGGGTAGGCGCAGCACAGGTAGGCGCAGCAGGGGTAGGCGCAGCACAGGTAGGCGCAGCAGGGGTAGGCGCAGCACAGGTAGGCGCAGCAGGGGTAGGCGCAGCACAGGTAGGCGCAGCACAGGTAGGCGCAGCAGGGGTAGGCGCAGCACAGGTAGGCGCAGCACAGGTAGGCGCAGCACTGGTGGGCACAGCAGGGGCCAGTAGAAACCATTGGAAGCAAGCGTTCCCTTCCCCCACCGCTATCAGACTCACAAGGTTCCTGTGCTCCAGCCTTGACAATCTCTCCACCTCCCACTTGAACCCTGCATCCGTGTCCGCAGCAGCCGCCGCAGCAGCAGCACCCGCAGCAGCGCCAGCAGCACCGTCACGACCACCACCAGTGGCACCACCAGCACCGCCAGAAGCAACAGCAGTGGAAGCAGGGGCAGCAGCAGCGGCGGCGGCGGCGGCGGCGGCTGGAGCAGTGGTTCTGTCAGCGCGTCGCAGCACCTTCACGGCCACCTCGCGGCGTGGCTGCAGAGGCAGCACGCCCCGGTACATACGCCCACACGCTCCCTCGCCCAGCAGATTCGCCGCGTCAAAGGAACCAGTGGCCAGCTGGGGAAGGGAAGGATGAGCAAGCGGGGGGGCAAGGGTGATGAGACGGAAGAGGCTGCAGGGGCAGCACGCCCCGGTACACCCGCCCACACGCTCCCTCGCCCAGCAGATTCGCCGCGTCAAAGGAGCCCGTGACCAGCTGGGGAGGGGGACAGGACCATGGGCAATGGGGAATGGGGGCAACAAGGTATGGGAATGAGAAAAAGGGGGAGCAAGGGTGGTGATAAGAATTATAGGTAGCATGGGAGGGATTGCAGAACGGATGGGACGCGTTTTGAGAATTATCAAAAGCAGCATGCAGGCAGCAGGGACGGGATAAGAGCACATGTGCGATGGGAGCACACGTGGGATAGGCAGCATACCTGCAGCTCGACCAGCTGGAATTGCATGTGGTGTGGCTGGCTTGCGTGCTCCAGATCCAGGTTCTTGGGCATGGATACAGACCTGGAAGGATAGGGATAGTTGTGGGTGGGGGACGGGAGGCGGTAGGTGAAAAGGGAGAAGGGGGATGGAGAGACAGAGGAAAGAGAGATTCAGAAACAGGGCTGGTGTTGGAGTTAACTCAGTCTAGGTTACAGCCTTCAATACAGACGATAATAGATTGGGTTTGATCCGCGGCTAGCCTAGATATAGACCTGGAAGAGAGCGACATGCTGCTGTAGCCAGTTGTAGCCAGCTGCAGGCAGCTGCAGAGACAGGACTTGCCTGACTCAGAAATACCTGACTCAGAATAACCTGACTCAGAATAACCTGACTCAGAATAACCTGGCTCAGAATAACCTGGCTCAGAATAACCTGGCTCAGAATAACCTGGCTCAGAATAACCTGGCTCAGAATAACCTGGCTCAGAATAACCTGGCTCAGAATAACCTGGCTCAGAATAACCTGGCTCAGAATAACCTGGCTCAGAATAACCTGGCTCAGAATAACCTGGCTCAGAATAACCTGGCTCAGAATAACCTGGCTCAGAATAACCTGGCTCAGAATAGCCTGGCTCAGAATAACCTGGCTCAGAATAACCTGGCTCAGAATAACCTGGCTCAGAATAACCTGGCTCAGAATAACCTGGCTCAGAATAACCTGGCTCAGAATAACCTGGCTCAGAATAACCTGGCTCAGAATAACCTGGCTCAGAATAACCTGGCTCAGAATAACCTGGCTCAGAATAACCTGGCTCAGAATAACCTGGCTCAGAATAACCTGGCTCAGAATAACCTGGCTCAGAATAACCTGGCTCAGAATAACCTGGCTCAGAATAACCTGGCTCAGAATAACCTGGCTCAGAATAACCTGGCTCAGAATAACCTGGCTCAGAATAACCTGGCTCAGAATAACCTGGCTCAGAATCACCTGGCTCAGAATCACCTGGCTCAGAATCACCTGGCTCAGAATCACCTGGCTCAGAATCACCTGGCTCAAAACGTACCACCTGCCTCAGACGTCACCTGCTGATGGAGGATAGGATGGTGCCAGCGAGGGAGCGAGCGTTGGGGGGAGGGCGTTTGGAGGAGTGGGAATGGGTGGAGTGCGTAGAGGAGGTGGAGGAGGACGAGGGGAAGGCTGGTGCTGCTGCTGACCCGTCCACGGTGCACGGCATGGGCTTTGGGGGCTTCCTGCGTATAGTGCCAAGGGTGTCTGGGGAGGCGCAGGGGGAAGGAGGTGGGGGACAGGGAGGAGAGGGAGGGTGGTGATGAGGAGGGAAGGAGGCAGTGTCATTCCTCTCCACTCAACCACTTCACCAAACCACCACCCACATAGAAGAGAACCAGACACCCAAACACCACCACCCAGACATCCGACTCACTGCTCTTGAGCAGCGCGCCAAACACCATTCTCGGCCCACCGCGGCCTTCTCCCCCCTTGCTTTCCTCCCCGTTGCTGCTGTCTCCCCCCGTGCCCTCTTCGCTCCGACGTCGCAACCCCCCTTCTGCTGCCAGCATAGCTTTCTCGCCCCCCTGTTGCTGCACCCGCCGCCACCTCTCAACCGCCCGCCGCCTCAGTGTGTCCTGCCGCAAAGAACTCTCCCCACTGCCCTCCCCACCGCTCTCCCCACTGCTCCTGCCACCACTCAAGTCCTCACCAACCCCCTGCTGCGACTTCTGACACATCTCAACACACACGTCCTGCTGCACACCCTTCCCTCTCGTCCCATCCCTTGCTGCAGCCACCGTGCTCTGTGATGCGTCAGAACTGATTCTTTCCCCTTGCCCATTCTCATTAAAAGCACTCTGCCCTTCCAGCCTCTCCGTTTCACCCCCCTCCATCACAGCCCCACCATCTCCCACCACTTTCTCTTCTCCCCTTTCCCGGTTCTCTCCCGTCCCTTCTCCCACTCCATCCTCTTCTTCCTCTCCCTCTGCTCCCACCTCACCCTGCTCCTCCTCCTCATCAGACCAATCATCCTCCCCGTCTTCCTCACACTCCTCCTCCACTTGCTCCTCACTCTCCTCCCCGTCCTCTCTCCTGAAGAAAATCACCTCAACCTTATTCCCGTCCCCATCCGTCCCCTCACTCGACACATCTGACTGCTGCCATGCCTGCATAGCAGCACCAACACCAGCATCCCCGTCCCTGCTTCCTCCAAACCCATCTCCTACCTCCTTGCCATCTTGCCGGTCCTCCAATTCACCATTCACCACCGTGCTCTCTTGTACCTCCTCTCCTCCCTCTGACGCTACAAACTGAACGGCATCATTCGCACACCCATTAGAGTTTCCATCCCTTACTGCTCCTCCCACGTCCTTCCCTTCCCCCAATTCTTCCCTCTCTTGTACCTCGCTCTCCTCGTCCTCCTCCCTCAACTTCTCTTCCTTCTCCTCCTCCTCCTCCTCCTCCTCCTTGTCCTCCTCATCATCACTCCTCACCAGCTCCCTTCCTCCTATCCCTTTCACCACATTCTTCCCCACACGCACCCCCACACTTGTCCCCACCACACTCGCGCCCCCCCCAATCGCCCCTCCTACACTCTCCCTTGCACTCTTCTCCACTCTACCCACTACCACCTCCTTCCCCACTTCCAGCAAAACCACCAACTCCTCCTCTCCACCCCCACTCCCTTCACCACACTTCACATTCCGCTCCTCCTGTGTCACTCCTTCACGCTCACCTGCTTCTCTCAGCCTCCTCCTCCTCTCCTCTACCACAGCCAGCCACTGCTCCCTGGTTACTTTCGGCGCTGCTGCCTGTTGCCCTTGCCCCTCCTTCACAGCCCTTCCTATCTCGTCAGTTTCGATCCTCTCCTCTTCTCCCTCCGCCCCTTCCTTCTCCTCTATCTCCTCCTCCTCTTCCTTCTCCTCCATCTCCTCCTCTTCTGTAATGTCCTCTTCTTCATCCTCATACCCCTCACTATCTTCACTTCCTGTGACCACATCAAACGCTTCCCCTTCCAATTCCTCCTCCTCCTCGTCCTCATCCTCCTCCTCATACTCGTTATAATCATCATCACAAACCCCATAGTCCTCCTCATCCTGGGTCTCACTGCGAGGGAACGACCACCGATCACCGGAGCTCATTTCCTTAAACTGCACCCTCCGTCTCCTCCTCCCCACACGCTCCCCATCCCCATCACCATTCCCATCCTGCGTCCCCATCCCTCCATTGCCCTCTGCCCCTCGTCTTTCCATACTCCTCCTGCGAGACCCCTTTGCACTCTCCTTTTCACTCTCCTTTTCACTCTCCTTCCCACTCTCAAGCCCACTCCCATTCTCGCTCTCATTCCCACTCTCGTCTTCGTCCCTCTCCTTGTTCCCACGACCATCCCTCTGCACCCTTCCCCCCTCCCTTCCACCACCCAAACCCTCCTCCCTTCCACCTCCCTCCTCCCTTACTCCTCCCTTCTCACTCTCCCCCATGCCTGCACTGTCATCACCACCCTCCCCTTCCTCCGCATCCTCCCCAACCGCCTTCAACCGTCCCACCAGTCGCCCCCTCCGCCCACTCCCACTCCCAACCACCCTCCCCCCCACACTCCCATCCTCTCTCTCCAAACTGCAACTCCTCCCCTCCCCCATCTCCCCCTCACCTCTCCGCCCACCACCCCCTATCCCCCCGCCGCCTCTCCCTCTCCTGTCAAGGCTCCACCCTCGCTCCAGGCTCCCAACCCGCCCTCCTTTCGCCCCGATGCCTCGCTCATCATCATCCCCTTCCTCAGGCACGAATGGCTTGCCTAGCAGTACAGCCAGAGCCAGTTTCTTGTCCACCTTGGGCCCTCCGTCCATCCGCGACGGGTCCCATTCTCGTGCCTTGGCCCATCCAATCACCATGTCCTTCTCTTTCTCCCCCACCCGCTTCTTCTCACCCGCTCCGTGTCTTCTCTCCCGCCCGCTTCCCACTCCTGCTGCTCCTGCTGCTCCTTCCGCTCTTGGACCGCGACAAGAGTCCCTACTTTCGCTAGTCCCACCCCTACTGCTGCTCCCCTCCCCGTCCCCATCCCCGTCCCCGTCCCCGTTTCTACTTCTGCTTCTGCGACTGCTTCTTCTATCCACTGCGATTGGAGCACCTTTTGCCACATCAGCAGTACCATCATCACTGCTATAACTGCAGCTATCACTTTCACTCAACCCCTCCGAATCATCACAACTGCCGGCCCTATCCTTCCCATCCCCTCTCTCCTGTCCCATACCACCCCTGGACCTCCCATCCCCCACGTCCTCCTCCTCCCCCTCACCACCACGTTTTTTTCCACACCCCACCTTTCGCCCACTCTTCTGACCCTTCTCCCCCATGCCGCCACCCACCACGCGCACCACACCTCCCTCTCCTATCTCAACACACAGCAGCTGCCTTCCTCTACCTCCAAACGGACTCTGTCTCCCTGAACCAAACGACGCCCCTGGGGAAACACCCGGGGACACACGGAACGACTCACGTGGTGACACGCCCAGCGACCCCACCGGCGATGCACATCTGAAGGAAGGAGACTCCAGCTCTTGCTGTTGCCTCGCCTCCCCCTCTACAACCCTCCCTCCCCTCCCTGCATTCCCCCTTGCACTCAGGCTTGGGGGACCAGGCACAAGAGCATCATTCAAGGAGGCTTTGGGGGCAGACACAGACCGGCCTATAGACCGCCTGTGCTGACTCGCCCAGCCATCTCTACCCTCTCTTTCCGCTGCTACGCTCTTCCTGCTTTCCTCCTCAGCCACCCACTCTCCATCCTCGTCGATCCTCTCTCCTGGTGATCTTGCCCCGGGTCGTCTCGGGTACGGGGAAAGCCCGTCATAAGGGCCTTCTGTGAGAGAAGGACTGAGGGGGGCCAAGGGTGCTGGAACAGGGACGGCGTCTAGGGTTCCCTTAGGGACAGATGCCACTCTCCTGTTGGCTAGTAGTTGCCGTCCTGCCAGTAGGATTTGGGTTAGAGAGGGTGACTGGCGAGGGGGCGCTGTTGCAGTGGCAGTAGCAGAGGCAGAGGCAGAAGCAGAGGCAGAGGCAGGGGCAGGGGCGGAAGCAGAGGCAGAGGCAGAGGCGGAAGTGGTGGTAGAGGTAGAGGAGAAAGAGGAGGAAGAAGAGGAGGAGGTGGTGATGGGGATGAGGGGCTCAGAGGGCCAGGGAGGGGCGGATGTGGCAGGCATGGCAGGGACAACGGGGACTGCACAAAGGGAAAGTGCAGCAGCCGGTGCTGCCGCAGCAGCAGCAGAAGCAGCAGCAGTATCACCACCACCACTACCAGATGTGGGTGCTTCTTCTGCTGCTGCGGCTGCAGCAGCACCGCAAGCACCAGCAGCAGCAGCGGGACGAGGAGGAGGAGTAGCATGAGAAACGGCAACAGCAGCAGCAGCGGAGGCAGAGGAGGGATGAGCGGCAGGCAGTGGGAGACGGGAGGGCGGAGTGAGAGCAACAGCATGGAGACTCGGCTTGGGAGCTGACTTTGCCTTGCGCACCACTCGACCTGCCCGCATCTGCTGCTCTCTGCTGCTACCTGCCCACACTCCCCCCTCTCCTGCTGCCCCACCTGCCGCTGCTGCCGCTTTTCTTCCCACACCACCTGGTTTCGATGCCCCTACTGCTTCTGCCACCCCTGCTGACTGCCCCACAGCCCTGGCTCTGTTTCTGAAACCGGGTTTTCTAGCGGAATTGGACATGGCGGTTGGCGAAGGAGCACAAGGAGAGAAAGCAGACGGGGAACGAGCAGATGGGGAAGGAGCAGAAGGGGAAGGAGCAGAGGACGAGGGGGAGGAAGGCGACACGGGAATGGGCATGGGCATGGCCATGGGCATGGGTAAGGAACCAGTTTCCAACAGGGATTTGGAAACAGCCGCTTCTAGCAACGCGCGGGACGCAGAGACAGCTCTCCCTGTCAGCGGGCCGCTATTCGATGCCTCGAGCACTGCTCTGGCGAGCCGACTAGACATGGCCGCCGCTGCTGCTGTCACCACTGCTGTCGGTGCTCCCGTCGTGGGGGAGAGAAGAGCACCACCTGGATCGACCCCAGGTGCAAAGACACCTGCTGCCCCTCCTCCTGGCAAAGCTGCTGCTGCTGCTGCTGCAGATGATGGCAGTAACGATTTCCCTCCATCTATTCTCCCTACACCACCACCCAGCCTTAACGCCCCTGGCACTCCTCCTGCCGCTACCATTGCAGCAGCAGGAGTGGAAGGGGAGGAGGCAGCAGAGCCTACCGACGCCACTGCCACCATAGAATCAGCAACCGACGCAGGCGACAGTGGCTGAGGGACTGGGTAGGCGTCAATGCGGGCCTTGGGCGCTGATACTGACTTGCCTAGAGCCCGCCTCCTGCTGCTGCTGCTGCCGTGGGAAAACCTAGGCGGGTAACCCTCGTCCTTACATGCATCTCTAGATGAGAACGAGCCATCGTTACAGCCGTCTTGTGACCTGAACGAATCCCTCCCGCCATCGTCCATTCCTACTGGTGCATCTCTGTGGTAGAGGCCCTGTTCCCTTTGTCGCGCTGTTCCCTGGAGGCGGGAGGAGTTGCAGTCCTTGGAAGCGCGCTTGTTGGTGCTGCTGCTGCTGCCGTAGTGACCGCTCTTTCCCCTTGAGTCGCAGTCACTAGTGCTGCTGTCCCCTCCCTGCTCCACCATACCCTCCATCCCCTCCTCCTGCACCACTGCAACCATTCCCTGCCTACCTGCCCGCCTGCCACCTAACCCACCACCGGTACCAGCAGCAGCAGCAGCAGCAGCAGCACCACCACCACCACCACCACTGCTACCCTCACCAGCACTGCTAGCTAATCGCCCTCCGGCACGCTTTCCCTGCCCTTTCCCCCTCCCTTTCCCCACCCCGGTTCCTCTCCCCGACTCCACTCCCACAGCCCCTCCCACGCCACCCCTCAGCCCGCGACTTCCACCCATAAGCGCCATAGCCAGCCCCTTGGGCTCTGTATGGCACGTGCTGCTTCTCAGAAACTCCTTGGCCAGCCAGCTCGTATTCAGACTAGCCGGATCAGAGGATTGCGCCCGGTACAGCCCTGCCATACTGCTCCCCTCCCCCACCACCGCCACAGCTGAACCTGCTGTTGCTGCTGTGGTGTCGCGACGACCTCTCTGCTGCATCCCTGCTGCCGGGTCATGGGTCTGTGCACGAGGGATGGGTTCAAGCCTCCCTGGTGCGTGAAGGGACGAGGACGAGGCCGGCTGTGGGGAAGGGGCCCCCACACAAGTTGCTGCGGCTGCGGCTGCGGCTGCTGGTCCTGCTGCATTGCCATTTGCCTCACTGCTGCCCAACATGCCAGACTCTCGACTCACGGCATCACCTGCAGCAGCAAACCCCCGCCCAGCAACTATCCTCATTCCAGCTTCACCCGCGGTCGTTTCTCCTTTGAACCTAACCCGTGGCCCCGAACCTACCCACGAACCTGCCCCCTCCCCTGTCCCCACTGCTGCTGCTGCGCCTCTCCTGGCCCTCAGAGCAGCTGTCTCGAGCCTGGAGAGCGAGCCTGACTTGGGAAATGCATCAGCGGCAGCGGCATGCAACGCAAGCTGCGCCCTGGCAGCACCACCACCGCACGGGCCTGAGGGGCTGTGCACAAGTGGCGACGGCCCCTTGGGATTCCTCACGTCCCTGGGGCTGGAAATCCCTGGCATGGTGGGACCAGCAAGCCCCTTGGAGCTCCCTTGGGATGCACGGGCGGCATGCGGGCTGTGGGGGTTGTGAGGGCTGTGGGGAGCGTGGAGGGTGTAACTGGTGCTGATAGCGCGCATCACGTGCTCTGGCGGTGGCTGGTACAGGTCTCCCTGCTCTAACTCCCTCAGAGATATTGGCCCTGACCCTGACGCATACGCAGGTTGAACGGTGGACGCAGGAGGCTGGATTGTGCGCTTACAAGCTGCGGCAGCGCCTGCAGTAATGCAACTGCTGTCATCAGCTGCAGCAGCAGCGTCTGCTTCGGGGCTCTCATCCTGAAAGTGGAAATTATCCTCCTCATCCTCGTCCTCATCCTCTTTGCTATCACCACCAACCCCGCCACAAACCCCATCCGTACCACCCTGTAGAATCGTGGGCAGCCCAACAACGTGTTCTCCATAGCCTCCTGAACCTTCCGCAGTCGTGTCACCAACCCCCTCTTTCAATGCCGGAACCGACCCAGCGGCAGCAGCAGCAGCAGTAGCAGAAGCAGCAGAAGCAGAAGCAGCAGCAGCAGGCCCTATGTGCCGGCGATTTCGTGGCACCACGCCACCAGTGGCTCTCTGCTTCTCCAGCAGCAACAGCAGCAGCTGCTGCTTCTGCTGCTTCTGCTGTTTCGAGCTCACCTCACGCCGCTTCTCCAGCAGTCCCTTCTTTGCCTGCCCCAGTCCCTTCTGTACCGTCTGTTTCCGCTTCTGCTGCTGCTGCAGCTCCAGTAGTCGCGTCTGCTCCTGCTCCCGCCACTCCTGCTCCTCGCGTTCCCTCTCGCGCCATTGCTCTCTGTCCTCCGCACTCCACGCCTCTTTCCTCGCCTCCACCACCCGCCGTCGCTGACGACTCGTCGCCGACGCCTGGTTACCCTTATCGCCTCGCCGCTGGTTACCAACTCGCGTATTCGCCGGGCCAGGTTCGGCGGGCCCCGGTCCTGTGCGGTGGATCGCGGTGCTCGACGCGTCCAGCTGCTCCTGGCTGTACCCGTGCCGCGGATCCATATCCTCGACATTAGCAGCAGCATTACTAGCAGCGGTAGCAGTTGCAGTCGGACCAAGACCACCAGCAGCAGAAGCAACGGAAGTAGCAGCAGTGGAGACATACACTTGCGAAAGCCGCGGCTGGTTACCTTCGCGAAGCTCGCTACCTCTGGAGGTATCCTCTGGGAAGTGGCGCTGGCTCTGCTGCTGAACTCGAAGCTCTCCCCTCGGCATGTGGCTGATCTACGGCGTAACAGCGCACGAGACGATCCAACGGACAATAAACAGACTTCCGCTGAATCGGACCACTCGTGAAGTCATTCATGGGTTTCCCGATAAGAGCACGACGGAATACGGTCGCCTAGAAGAACACTGGTTGCAAGGCTGAGCGATGCGGTAAGAAGGGTTTCCGACTGCAGGAGCAGCAACAGCGACAGAAGCAGCGCCGTACGCGTTCCTTGACCGTTACCATGGACATTGTGAAGTTGCAATGCGAGCAAACAAGGCGAGCAGCTACGAGAATCTCGCGAGGAAGGAATATGCAGAAAGAAGGAAATAGGAAGGACGCGGGCGAAAGACGCTACGGGCGAAGAAGCGCTTGGTGACGGGAACGTCCTCGCTAGGTTGGTTTGGAGTTCAGTAACTTACCCGACGCCGTATAGTACAGCAGCGAAACCTGCTGGGATGAACAGAAGAACGGGACGTTGATAAGAAGTGCTTTGGGCTGTCGAAAGGGTATACCGCATCTGCATTTGGGGTAAGTGGAGTGGTGAGGTGAGCTACGCGCTCGTTTTTGTTGAGTTCCTCACGGTCTAGCACGGTAATTGAAATGTTACCGCTTTGCAACGCGGCACACAACGCAAAACCGTGATACACTGTCCTGAGGGCTCTTGGCTTATGAGTGATGTCAAGTGCTCGAATCATGCTGGTGCGGTTGGGTGAAAGACCTCGCGCGACAGAGTGGTTCGGATATGAACTAGAACGGTTAAGTAGGCAATTGAGCAGAAAGGAACTTCACACATGACACGGTGAGGATGGTACGCGAAATACTCGTTACAGAGCCAAACGCACAACCGCGCAAGAAACGGATATCTGCATTCATCTTCATATCACTACTGATCGGTTGCTAACGCTGGAGAATTTGGTGGAGCACGTGTGGGATTCAGCCATCCGTCCTGGCTTCCCCACATGCTCTTTTCTGGTTTCGACAATCCCAGCAAGTGGTGTGGAGTCCGAGAGACCACGCCGCCAAGCACGCATTCCTAACAATCCGCTCATAGGGTGAACAGGTACGAAGAAATCTCCCATGAAGCTTTTCCCGCAATCCAGAATCTCGTGTTAGACGAAGTCCTTCGCGACAGCAGAAGCGAGCATCGCGAGCCTCCTCGCACCGCTGCTACCAAACCATGGCGGCCGCGTCCCTCATCGACGAGATCGCGGACGAGCTGCAGGCGCTCGAGGCCGTCTACGGCGATGTCGTTCGCGTGCAGGCGGAGAATGCGGAAACGTCGACCGCCGGACAGAACAAAGCAGCAGCAGCAGCAGCAGCAGCAGCAGCGGCGGCGGGGGGGGGGATGGTGGTGGTGAGGATCAGCGTGGAGTTGAAGCCGCAGACGGGCGAAGACGCGACGCAGCAGTTCGTGGAGGCCACGGCCGTGCTGCTCGTCACACCGCAGGTCGCCATCTCCATCTTTCCTCTCTCTCCCATCTTCCTCATCCTCATCTTCTTCCTATTCCTCTGCGCATACATACATACATCCGCATCTTGCCACGAGCATGGATCGTTTCTTTTGGGAGGGACTTTTGAGAATTCTCAAAAGAGACTTCCACTTGCCTTGCCTCCACCCACCCACCCCACACCCGTTCCCTTCCCTGAACCGTCTCTTATCGTTTCTCGCTCTGTCGATGGTACGTCGAATCTCGGCCGTCCTTGGTCCAATGACATTCCCTCCATCCTCCCTCCTCCCCGCCCACTGCAATGCAATGCAACCTAACCTGTGGGGTCTCTTCCGCTCAAACTCATTTCCCTCTATGCCTGCCCACCCGCTGTATTTGGGCTCCCCCGGTCAACCTCTCCTCTCCACTCTTCCCTTAATCTCCCTGTTCGCTGTGGCACCCTTCATTGCCCGCTCCCCTTCTTTGCGCCCTCCCTTTCCGCTCGTCCGTCCCTTCCCCGCAGTACCCTCTGGCCCCAGCAGTGCTGCGCCTGAGTGCGGTGAAGGGCATGAGTGACGAGCGCGTGGCGGAGCTGCTTGCGCGCGCCAGGGCGTGGCTGGCGGAGGCGCTGGGGCCGGGGGAGCCCATGCTGCTGGCCGCGTGCGAGGTACAATACAAAGACTCAGCGTGCTGGGTTGGAGAGGGCAGGAGGGGCGGGAGGGGGCGGGAGAGGGCGGGAGGGGGCGAGAGAGGGCGGGAGAGGGCGGGAGAGGACGGGAGAGAGGGAGAGTGCGGGAGAGGGGGGGAGAGGGAGGGGAAGAGTGGGGTTAGGGGAGTGGGAGGAAGCGAGAGGAGTTGAATGGGGAAAAAGGGGTGTGGGGCCGGGTGGGAGGGAAGTGGGGGAGGGGGGTGTAAATGAGGAGGGGTGTATGGCACATGAGGGGATGGTATGGAAGGTTGTGTAAAGCTTTGGCCAGTTTACCGTTGGGCAGTGGAAGTCTGGAGGGGAACGTATTGGAAGGCCGTTGGGAGGATGAGAGGATGGAAGCTGGGGAAAGTGATGGTATTTTAGGTCAGGAAATGGGAAGAGATTCACTTGCATGGGCGCCAAATGAGTACATGGAATCACATGCCTGCCTGCCTGCCTGCCTGGATGCGCCCTCTCGTTCTTGCTCCTTCTCTCTGCTCTTCATGCATTGCCGTTGCTGTGGCAGCAAGTGAAGGAGCTTCTAACGGAGATGAACGAGCCTTCTGGGTGCTGCTGCTTCTGCCTTGATCCAATGACTTCCACTGCTGCACCTGCTGCTGCCTCGGACCATCTCCACGATGCCAGCAGCAGGGCCGGCTTTCCCCCGCTGTTCAAGCTTGGAGTCTGCTTCCATTGCTTCCACTCGTAAGTATCTTTACTCTGTTCTTATTGCATAAGAATGCCCTTGAGTGTGGGTAATCTCTGACTTCTTTGTGCTCCTGCAAGCAACGCTGTGTGGTGTGCGGATCCGATCGTGTGGCGCGGACCCTATTCTGTGATGTGGACTCTGTTCTTCGCACAGGTCCACCGTGGTATTTTTCACTCTGGTTTCGTCACCCCAGACCACCGTATTGGTACTCATGCCTCCCCCTCTGTCCTGCCCTCTCTCGTGCTCGTCTCAAGTCATTTTCTTGCTTCTCATCTCACCTGCTCCCCCCATCCGCCCCTTCTCCCACGTTCTCCAGTCAGTGCATTAGGCAGTGGTGGCAGTGGGAGCTACAGCAGGCCAAGGCCAACGAAGCTGAAATGCGGAGATGCCACCCACATATTGCAGTTCCCAAGGTGATTACACCCAGCCACGAGGGGACGCCCAAAACCCAGCCCACCCAACCCAACCCATTCTTTTGGTCTTCATTTCTCGCACACACTTCGCGCTTTTCTTTGCTGCCCTTTCTTCTCTGCTCGTCTTTCACTTCCCTGACCCGTCGTGAAGAAAATCAGCAGTCTCGCAGTCCATACACTTCCCTTCACACATGCTCATTCCCTGTCACGGCATTTAACTCTCTCCTCCTCTCTTCCTCTTGTGCCCCCATCGCAGCCATCCTTCAGCTGCCCTGTCTGCCGGTCCACCCTGGCAGCAGACGACGTAGCTCGCCTTGACACCCTCCTCGCCTCCTCTCCTCCCGTTCCTTCAACATCGTCTCTCCCAACCTCCACCTCCTTGGAATCTGAGTCGAGGCCCTCGCTAGATTCCGCAGCACCAGCAGCAGAGGTCACAGAGGTGCTGTGTGGGGAGGATCAGGTCGAGAGGAGGAAGCAGTTTGAGGCTGTGTGGCAGCGGCAGCAGCAGCGGGGAGGTATCATTGAGCCTCGCTCTGTGCTGGAGAGCAACAGAACAAACCATGGAGATCAACATGCCGTTCCACAGCACGCCCATGCACGTCCGCAGTCTTCACAACCCGCTTCTCACCATTTCCCCAATTCCCAACCTGTTGATGCATCCGCTGCTGTCGCATCTTCCTCTTCTCCTCCTCCTCCTCCTCCTTCGTCCTCGTCTACTCCGGGTGCAGCTGCTGCTGATGCTGCAGCAGCTCCTGCAGTGGACTCTCTCCGACCAGGCTCAGGCTCTGCTGCTTCTGCACCAGCTGAACCGTGCTCTGGTGGCCTTGTTCTCTTCCCAGCACTGCGCCTTGACCCCTCGCCTCCAGACAGCTTTTCTCGCAACCTGCCTGGCGCTGTATCCGCACCGCACAACGAGCCTGGGTCGTTTTCCGGCTCAGGTGAAAACCCAGGTGGGGGTTTCGGTTCTGTGGGTCGGGGACAGGGTAGGTATGGGGAGCGAGGGAGAAGAGGGCGGGGGCGGGGAGAAGGACGGGGAGGTTGGAGAGGAGGGAGTGGAGGAAGGTTGCATGGTGGGGGCAGAGGGGAAGGGAGAGGGCTGTGGAAAGGAGGAGTTGAAAGCGGTGGAAAGGAAGGGGGAGAGCAGGACGGGAGGGGACAGCAAGAGAATGGTGGGCGACAGGGGCAAAGAGGCAGTCACCTTGAAGAGAACAGTGGAAAGGCTGGGGAAGGAAGTGGTGGGCGGGGATATGGTGGCAGGAGAGGCTCGAGTAGGGGGCGACGGGGAAACAAGGGGAGGCATGGAAGAAGCGGCAGCGGGGGGGTGGTGAAAGGTGGGGAGTTTGGGGGAGGAAGAGATGGTCAAAGGGGTGGAGGTGGGGGTAGGGGCGTGGTGGATGGGTCTGGATCTGTGGTGAGGAATGGTGTAGTGGAAATGAGTACAGGTGCGTCTATGGATTCGGATTCGAGGGGCATGCTGTAGCGCAATGCGATGCAATGCGATGATGTTGGAAGTACCGCACAACCAGGACTATTTGAGGATGATGGGGCTGGGATGTTCAGGAGATGAGATGAGACAGCCTGTTGTATAATGGAGCATTTAGCTGAGTGAGGAACAGGTTCCCTTGGAGGGTTGTGAGGGTGAACCGGCGAGAGAGAGGGGGAGTAACGGGTGCAGTAAGAGTGAACGTGCATCTTGAAGATTGGCTCTTATTCTTATGCAGCGCTCTTGGAAGGAGCCGTACAATGTGATGTGGCACTCTGCTGGATGTTGGTCGAAGTAACTATGTAAGCTTAGGAGGCATGACTTAGGCTAAGGAGGAAGACTTGGAGCTAGGAGATGGTCTCGAGAGGCGTTGGCAAAGAAGGGGTTGCACTAGAAAGAAGGATACAAGATATAGGGAAGGGAAAGGAGAAAAGGGTACACCACCAGCAGTTGAACCTAAGGGCTTGTTAAATCGCAAACTCCAAAAATTCGGCCACAATCCGTCGGGCCGTTTTTGCGAAGGTTGTTGGGCTGAGAAAAGCCCTCAGGATATTTGGAGGGCTTAACTCAGAGTATGAATGTTGTAGTTGCGGAAGCGTTTTAATGATAAATATTGAACCACCTTGCGCTAGTATGTGAGGGCAAAGTAGATTGATTAGAACGAAGAGATAAAAGGATTTAGAAAGCTTGCTTTCTTTCATGTAGCAATGGCATCGTCTCATTTCAAATGGGTTTAGTACAATTTGAAATCCAAGCAGCCTATCAGACTAATGTGCTAACACATTTCAAGGGGTGGGTGGGCGGGAAAATCGGCTAAACCGTTTGAAAATGAGAGACGTGGGTGGAGGGAAATGACCTCCAGCCCGCGTTTTGTACTCCAAAACGGGCGTATAGTGCGGTTCGTCGCTGCCCATTCCTACATTACAGACTGCTTCGCTTTCAAAATACGAAATTTTGAAAAGCGTAACACTTTTAAAAATATTCATATTTAGAAAGCTTGCTTTCTTTCATGTAGCAATGGCATCGTCTCATTTTAAATGGGTCTTCTGAGACATGTGCAGTGGAGGTTGTCGTCGTCGCATCAGAGCCGCTGAGTGTTGCGCTGGTGACGAGGCTCGTGCCGGGTCTTAAACGTGTCGAGACGCTTCGACCAGCTGATCGACCGCCGGGGTGATGTACATCTCCTAAGCAGTATCGCTGCGCCACCGTCCCAACTGTTTCCAAAAGCGATCTGGTACTCCTGAGTTGGCGGCGGCAGTGGCTGCGCCTTTGCGAAAGAAGTGGGTGCCGAGATGCTCGAGACCTAAGCCGATCTTTTGGAATGCCTCCTTGCACCAGTTGCGGATTGTTGTGTAGGATGGTGAAGTGGCGGCAGTGCCGAGACTCGTGGTGTCTTTACCGAAAACTCGTAAGAGCGGGCCTCTTTGTGCATGGTTGTATCCCGCCAATTGGATGAAGCGTTTGGTGCACCGTACGGGGCAAAAGGGACCTAAGCTTGCTGCTACTGGAACCCATGCACCTTCTCCTGCCTGGTCAGTCTTTGAGTGGGGAATAAAGAGCCACATGGCGTCTTCCTCGAATTGGATGTCGTGCCACTTAATTTCGACGAGGTCCGAGTAGTGTAGAAAGCCGGCGTACATTAGGATTGGGATAAGTCCCTTCTGGAACTCGCCGGGGTTGTTTGACTCCATGTATTACGACGCCATTTCGTTGACTTGGTGCAAAGAGATGGGCTCTTTGAGTCGTCGGGGGCACGGGCAATGTCTCTTGGCGAATTCCCGCACTTGGGATGTGAACGGCCCAGTTGATGGGCACGGGGCCCCGATCATCCGATGTGCGAAGCTGACTGTCGAGCATGTCAGTTGTATCACTGATACTGTGGCTTTTTGTTGAATCGCATGGACCAGGTATAACGCGAGCGTCATGTCTGTGCATGGCAGAAACTGTAGCTTGACTCGTTTGCAGAACGCGCGGAACTTGGCCCAGTACGGCTCGTAGGTGCGAATCGTAGAGTCCGCCCGTGTTTGCGCAGTTATACGGAGCAATTCTTGCTTGAGCCTCTCAAGTAATCCTACACCAGGTTCGTGAGAGGTCAGGTAGCGAACAACACTCGTAAAGCGAGAATAGGGCTATGAGGCATTCCTTCGCCAGAGAAGGCACAAGTGTGGGTGCCCGCGGTGAGGCACTGACTCCCATGGGTGAGGTGGATGTGAGCGCGAATGCAAGGGGCCAACTTCGGTGGGGTGGTTTGTAGCAACGGCCACCAGCTTGCCCCTGGCCAATGAGGCACTACGAGCGTGAGCGATGCTTGCGTCCGTTGGGCGTGGTGATGTCAGAATCAGAAACGAGAATGAGTGACTAGAATGAGTGTTGGGTACAAATAGGTCAAACCTAACCCTAGAAATGTGTACCCACTATAGGCTAACCCACTGTAGCCTAAACAAGCACATCATACAATGTTTGACACACCCCCATAGGCAAAGTGGGGGAGAACAAGGGGTCACAAGACCAGTCAAAGCAAAACAAAGCTCAGGGTGGATCTCAAGGATACCACACAAGTTCCGAGCACAAGCAAGCGGTCACAAGACCAGTTCACATGCAGATTTATAAAAGAACAAGAGATACAGTAATCACAACCTAGCAAGAGTAAGCATGCAGGTATATATATATAGAGATCACTGTACAAGCAAAGTCAAGAAGTGAGCAAATGAGGGACAGTAGGCACGAGGCCTAGAACAGTACAGAAGCGCTGATGGTCACAAGGCTGAAGCGCCTTGGTGAACACGTCAGCAGTGTTGGCCCGAGTGGCCACGTAACGCAGACAAAGCTGACCTCGCTGCTGCAGCTCTCGAGCAAGAAAGTAGCGCAGAGTAATGTGCTTCGTCCTGTGCTCCAGTCTGTGCTCCCCACACAAGGCAATGGTGGCCTTGCTGTCGACGTAGAGCACTGGAGGAGAACGAGGCTGCTCTCCAAGGTCAGTCAGCAGGTAGGTGAGCCAGCGAAGCTGGTAGGTAAGTCTAGAGAGTGGAGCTCGTAGTCACGCTGAGCGGCGACGTGTAGCAGAACCCGAAGAGTGGTCATCTTCGGGGTCGGGGAGAAGGTCTGGAAGAAGTCAACTCCCTCTCGCTGACTGAAGCCTCGTGCAACGTAACGCGCCTTGAAGACAGGCGGAGAGCCCGGCGGCCGCTTCACCCTGAAAATCCACATGCCACTGACGATGTTCGCCCCAGGTGGGGGAACCTCGTCAACGTAGGTGCCAGTGGACTTCCAGGAAGCCATCTCTGTGTCCATGGCTGACTGCCACTGAGAGGAGTAGGGACCGGCCATCGCCTCTGCGTAAGAGCGTGGGGTCGGGATGTCTGGTGCATCCGGGTCTCCCTCAGGGGCAACGAGCATGGACACGAGATGGGGCAAAGCAGCGGCAAGGCAACCAACCTCCTCCTGCCTGTCCTCAAGAACGTCCGTGCCAAGAGCACACTCACCCCCGACGGACGGAGGACAGACAGACTCAGACTCAGCAACAAGACTCACAGCGTAGTCTAGACGACACGCAGCTGCAAAGTCGACAAGCTCAGTGACTAAGGCAGACGCAGCAGCGGACTCAAAGGAAGGGTCAGTGACAACCGTAGCGAGGAGACGTGTGACAGTAGGACTGGCAGCGCGAAGGGTGTCTGACTCCGGGTCAGCAAGCGCAGGAAGAGAGGACGCAGGAGGCGACGGGAGAGCGACACGCTGCGGAGCAGTGGACTGACGAAGCGCCATCTGGTGAGTGCCTGGGACATCAGGAGGACGCTGACGCTGGACACGACTAGCAGTGGTAGCAACACGAACAGGCGACGCTCGACGAGACGCAGGGGACACAGGACGTGAAGCAGGCTCACGTCTCTCAGCTAGACCTCCAGTCGGACCAGTGTACGGAGTAAACACCGGGAGTGGGGAGGCAGTCGGTAACTGTGGCTGTGACTGGACAGACGGAGGACACTCTAAGGCGAGAGGAGGACACTGACTAAGAACCTGCTGAAGGAGCAGAACGAAGTACGGCCGTGGCCGTGCAGCAACTCTCGAACCAGCAGAAGCTGTAGTGGCAGGGTCCTCAGCACCAGCAAAAGCTCCACCCTCCGGGTCCTCCACTCCAGCAGCAGCAGCAGCACCTCCAGCAGCAGCACCACCAGCAGCAGCAGCACCTCCAGCACCAGGGTCCTCAGTACGAGCAGCACCTCCAGCAGCACCGCCAGCAGCAGCAACACCTCCACCACCAGGGTCCACAGCACCCGCAGCAGCGTCAACTCCGGGGACCCCAGCACCAGCAGCTCCACTCCGGAGACTGATGTGCCAAGCGTACCACTCTCGAAGCTGTGGGGAAGAGGGCGGCTCCCGCCGTGGTGGGGAAACACGAGTACCAACTCCAGTAGCACCACGAGCCCGAGACGCACCCCGCCGGAGGCTGCAGTACCGTGAGTACCACTCACGGAGCTGCTGCAAAGAGGGAGGTCCTCCAGGCGCCTCACAGTCAACTGTAACACAACCAGGCTCAGTACCCCCAGACTCAGCAACGCCAGGCTCAGTACCCTCAGACTCAGCACCCCCAGGCTCAGCACCCCCAGTCTCAGTACCTCCAGACTCAGCACCCCCAGGCTCAGCACCCCCAGTCTCAACACCCCCAGGCTCAGCACCCCCAGGCTCCGCCCGCTCAGGCTCCGCACGCTCAGGCTCCGCACGCTCAGGCTCAGCACCTCTAGCAGGACGCGAGTCGACAGCTACCTCGGCAGGCTCAACCGGGTCTACGTGAGAGACACCTGAGGGAGCGGCACCCTGAGGGGGGAGGGGGTCTACCACTGCAGCACC